GATGATGCCATGGAAAATGGTGATGGCGGTCAGGTGGGATGCACACGTAGACAATGCTTTGGAGAGACGCCCAGTTGAAGACATTTTTGTGACAGTGATAAAAATGAAAATATAAGACATAAGAACAATTATTAGGCTACTCATCTCATTGAACGTTGCAAAGATGAAAAGTATCTTCCGGCTAAGATAGGGGTCAGAGCAGGAGACTGCAACAATGGCAGAGTACTCACACACGAAGTTATTGATGAACTTAATCCCACAAAAAGACAAAATCAACAAAAAGTATATGAATACTGAGGAGCAGATGAGAGACCAAGTGTATGAGGCAGCTACCAACAAAGAGCAGAGCTTTGGGGACATCACGACGGTGTAGAGGAGAGGCTGGCAAACTGCCACAAATCGGTCATAGGCCATGGCGGCCAACACAAATGTTTCTGTCACCACAAATATGCAGGCTAAGAAGAACTTTGTGAGACATCCACTGAAGGAGACGGTTCTATCTTCAATAATGAGATTTTCTAAGAGCTTCGGGGTAACCACACTGGAGTAACAGAAATCAACAAAGGACAAGTGACTGAGGAAGAAGTACATGGGGGTGTGGAGTCTGGGGTTGACCCTGATGATCAGGATCATGCCGAGGTTCCCCAGCACGGTGATGGTGTAGATGGCCAGGAATAGCAGGAACAGGGGCACCTGGAGTTCAGGGTACTCGGAGAAGCCCAGGAGGATGAAGGTGACTCCATCAGTCTGATTTGCTTGTGTCCTATAGAGAAAGGGGAAAAGGTCATACAAAGAAATGAGAACCAGTATTCATAACATTAAACAACCGCTGAAAGCCTTAAAACTCCCTGGACGAATTGTCCAAAAATTCTAGTTATCTTCTTTTTTATTATGTGAAGAGTTAACGTTAACATCTGTAACATAATGTGAAGAAAATTTTTACTAAGTGAAATAATAGCAAAGTCAAGAAAAGAATAAGCACAATGGAGCATGCTCTATTTAAAATTGCAGTATTCACTATTTTCACATTCAACTGGTTTCATGAGGGGCCATTGAGGTTAATGAATACTTTGGCTATGGGATATACATAGAATGCTTTCTGTTTTGAAGGAAAAGAATTACACTGGAACAGCTTTCCAAAACAATTCTCTAGCAGAATTACAATAATGGCTACACTGTACATTGATTGTTTTGTCTTTTTTGGAAAGATTCCTAGAAGAGCAGTACTACTTGGAAGGAACCGCCAATGCTAGCTTTTTGAGAAATTTGCACAGTGATTTCCATAGTCATTGTACCCACCTAACTCACACCAACAGCAGAGAAGGTTCCTTTTTATTCACAGTTCAGTAAGGATTTGTTATCAGTTGCTTTTTTGATGCTGGCTCTTCTTTTTTTGTTGAGATGAAAATTTAGTGATTTAAGGTATATAGCTTGAAAGACCAACAAAGTTACCTTTTTATTTTTCATGTATTTTGTGTTTTTTTCTTCACCTGAGAAATATGTATTGATCACAGAAGCTGAATTTTTGAATTAGGTCTCTGAATTTGGGGCAGCTGATTTTCTTCATTATATTTATTTATTTATTTATTTTAATAATTTTGAGAAAGAAGTAGCAATGAGATAGTTTTAAAACAGATTAGTATACAGTTACAATAATTAACACATTGCATATTGTTGTTTTTGTAGTACTTATATATTGTACAACATGCAGACATGATATCTTGTCTAAACACTCTTACATCAAAACTTTCTTCCCATTGAGCTAAAAGAAAGTAACTCTATATCTATGCTATTTTGTATATACAGATATATATATTTTTTCACTGCAAAATGGGCCTTCATTTATATCCCTCTTTCTTTTTACTTTTGTCAGATGTGTATTCCATTGCCATTCATATATTGTAGGTGCATGAATTCAGCAAAGTAATCTATTATAGTCTAGTATTGTATGACAGTAGTGGATTATCTGCATGACTGGCAATGTCAGAAGTTGTTGACTTGAGCCTTTTACAGCTCAGCATATTAATATGGCTTTACTTTTTATATCTTGATTTTATACTTTTCAGCTGGATGGTTAAGACCAAGATAAAGTGAGTCCTATATAACAAAACATGTAACTTTTGTATCTGACAATGTCAGTCAAATCCCCTCAGGACTTACCCTTAAGCCCTGTACAGCAGTTTGTAGATTTTTTGTCAGTGTCAGCCATGTGGTTGAGTCATGGCCATTGCTTGAACAATTTGCTCTCTGTGAAAGCCTAAGAGAATGTTTTCTCTCCATGTGACTCTCCTTAGGCACACTCTACATTGTCAACTACTTTCCTCTGTGTCCCCATAATGTCCTTGAACAGAAAATTTGAGACACCGCTGAGTTACAGGATGTTACCATACAGTTTTGGGGGACCTAATTTTTAAAACTACTTTATATGTTCTAGACATAAGTTCATTGTATAAGGCACATATCTATAAATTGTCCTACTCTGTTGGTTGCCTTTTCACTCTATTAATGTTTACATATGTTATGCAAAATATAAAAGATGAGATCCTTTTGGTAAATCTTTGTAATATTTCCCTTGCATGCTTAGTTTGCCCTATGAAATCTCTGCCTACACCTATAACTTCAAGATTTCTACCTATTTTTTCTCAGTAAATTAAGGATTTCTATTTTAGTATTTAGATCTTTGATCTATTTTACTTCAATTTATTATGTGGTGGTAGACATAGGTCTAGATTTTCTCACTGCAATGATAGAAATGGTTTCTATAGCACCATTTATTAAGGAAACTGTCTTTCAGTGAAAATATTTGGCTCCTTTGTCAAATGTAAGGTGGCTGTGTGTGTTTGGGATTGTGTCTGCATCTTCTATTCTGTTTCACTGATCTTTAGGCTTGTTTTATTGCCTCTGCCATGGTGAATTTATCACAATAATTTTGTAGTAAAATTTCATGTCTGGGATTGTGGTGATTCCTGACTTGCCTTGATGTCCAGATTTTTTGCTTTTTGCTATTCTATGTTTCTTTTGGTCCCAACTTAATTTTAAGAGTGTCTTGTAGTTCTGTGATGTATTCTAACGGTATTTTTGTTTGTAATTGCATTAAATCTTTACATCAGCTTTGGAGTATGGCCATTTTCACTATGCTGTTTCTTCCTATCCATGAGAACTAGAAATCTTTGTATTTTATACTATCCTCTTTGATGTGGATACTGTATCTTCTTTTATGAATACTGTAATTTTCACTGTTCAAGTATGTTCTATTCTTTTGTAGTTTGCTTTCTAAGTATTTTATGTTTAGATATCATTGGAATGGTTCATTTTCACTACTTCTGCACTCTGTGAGTTTGTTCTTAATGTAAAAGAATACTGTTGATTTTTTAGTGTTCACTTTGAATCTTGCTACACTGCTGAATATATACATTAAATCTACAAGCTTTTTGAAAGTGTTGAGACATTCTATATAGAGCATCATATCATCAACAAACAATGATAATTTAACTTCTTCTCTTACAATATTTAAATTGCTTTGATTTATCTACTTGCTGTGGATAATATTTCCAGAATTATGCTTATTCAGAGTGGGTGATAGTGGGTATCCTTTTCTTGTTCCTGATTTTAGACTGAAGGTTTTGTGGCTTTGACATTTAATATGATGTTACCTGTCGGTTTGATATAGTTTTTTTTCTTATTAGAATAAGTCCATCCATTCAAATTTTCTATAGGACTTTTATCATGAATGTATGTTAGAATTTGTCAAATCCTTTTTCTGTATCTATTGAAATGAGCATGAAATTTTTGGATTTGCATCTGCTTATACAGTATAGATAATGATTTGTTTGTTTAACCATGCCTGCATGCCTGGGTTAAACAGTATTTGGTCGTGATGTCTAATTTCTAAATGATATGCTGCATTCTGTTTAAAGCAAATTTTAACAGAGAAGAAAAACCAAATGAGCAATAACACAATCGTAAGCTGTTGACCTAAATACCACACACTCCCAATTACATAGATTGACAGAAAATCAGCAAAAACCTTTAAAATTATATCAAGCCTGTAAATGAATGGACTTTATGATGTCTACCAAGTGTTCAATCCCAAAACATCGAGTGTGCCTTCTTCTCAGATGCACAGAGGATATGATCCAAAATACATACATATTAGCTGACAAAACATGTTTAAATCTGAATGATTTGAAATCATCTCATACACAATGTCTTACCATAGCTCAATGACATGGGAAATCAATGACAAATGAAATCACAAATACTCCATTAATATATGGAAATTGCATACCATACCTCTAATCAACCAAGGAACCACAGAGAATATTATAGATGAATCTGATACAATAGGAAAGCAAATCTATGGTGAAAATATACAGGAAAGAACTCAGACATCATAAAAACAACACAAGTTCAAAAAAATACAGAATGTTGAATGAAAGATTTCTAGAAAAATAATAAATGACACATAAACCTCCTAAGAGTGAGAGAATTATAAAAATAAGAAAGAAATTAAGGTAATAGAGGTGAGAAAGACTATATGAAGAATCAATGCATTAAAACACTGACATTTAAAAATTTGCACTTTGAAAGAATAAAGTTGATAAACTATTAGGCATCCTGATAAAAATGTAGAAAACAGAAAGCAAATCAATCAGGAATGAAAACAGGGAGAAATACAATGGTTGTCACAGAATACAGGCGATCATCAATCCCTAGTACATGAACATACGTTTGAATAAGATTGTAAACACAAAAGAAGTAGACAGATTACTAGACACAACCAAATTGCAAAGTAACTCAGGAAGATATGAACATCTTAAATAACCAGATATCAGCCCCTTACATTGAAAATGGAAACAAAAATTTAACAACAGGGGCCGGGGAGGTGGTTCAGTAGAATAAGTGCTTGCCTGGAAAGTGCAAGGGCCTGAGTTCAATTCATGGTTCTAAAAAAAAAAAAAAAAAAAAAAAGAACAAAGAAAAGACAAAAGTCCAGGTCCTCACAGATTCATTATTAAATAATATAATAATTTCAGAGATAAATTAATGTCACTAGTGCAGGAACTCTTTAAAGAATTTGATTGGAAGCAGTAATTCCAAAATCATTCCTGAAAGCAAGAAAAAATAGATAAATGTACAGGTCTATCTTCCTTGCAGAGATAGATACAAAAATTCTTAATAATATGCAATGATTTCCACAATTTTTTTCATTCATTATTTTAAACTGAGAAAATACAGATATATAAAAGTTGTGAATTCTTACCTTTAACAAATGGTGACTGTAACATTTTTTATGTTCTTTTATGTCTACTGACATAATATTCAACACATTTTGAAGTGATAATTTAGCAGTATATGTAATGATGTTAATCAACTTTAACATTTTTTTAAATAGTAGAAACATAATTTTGTTAGTAGTATATTTAATTACTCTATAAATATTTATTGCAGAAATTTATGTTTTGTGCCCATAAGGATTAAACTTTTCAAGTACTAATTGATGAAAAGCTCTGCACTTTTAAAAATGGTAAAATGTAGATGACCAGTGTGTCAAAGACAATGATGAAAATAATAATAAAGTTCAATCTTCGATTTTTGAAAAATGCATTGTACTTACAATTTTGTGACACGTTATAAGTTTTGGAAAACAGAGTTATAATGAATCATACATTAAAGAGATATATCATTTTTTGATTATTTCCTGATGACATTAAATAGTTTGTAAAGAAAAAAATGAAAACAGTAGAGATAGAATATTCAAACCA